CTCTCTCTCTCTCTCTCTCTCTCTCTCTCTCTCTCTCTCTCTCTCTCTCTCTCTCTCACACACACACACACACACACACACACACACACACAATATGTGGTTGGAATGAGGAGAGAATTTGGGGATCTTTGGAAGACACACACACGCGCCAAATGTGGTGTACCTTGCACTTTCTCTTATCTCGCTAGTTTATACTTTTCTTGTTTTATGGATAGTTTGTCATGTTTTGAGGATGGAATGAGAGCGAGAGTTTGGGGTTTCTTAAACAACACACACACGCCACGTGACACGCACCGCTGAGCTCAGAGCTTTCAACACTTCCTGCCCTGATGAATCGGCATCTAGCACTTAGTGGACAAGAGGAAGAGGAAAGCAGAGGAAGAGGAGATGGAGGAGGAGGGAGCAGTAGGAAGGAGAGGAGGAAGGAGGGGGAAGAAGGAAGGAGGAGGGAGAAGGCAGGAGGGGTATGACAAGGGAGAGGAAGGAGGAAGGAGGAGGAGGGACGAGGAGAAGAAAAAGGAAACGGGAGCAGAGAGGAGAGGAAGGAGGAGGAGGAGGAGGAGGAGGAGGAGGAGGATGAAGAGGAGAAAGTTCAAGGGGTTACTTTTGGAATGCATTTCTTTTCCTTTTTATCTCGAAAGACTGGAGATGTCTCCTCAGGCTCCAGTTCCTCTGAGGAGCTATCAGAGTGAGTATCCCTATTATTATCTTTATTCAGCCTAAGGAACATTTAGTTGGGTAATGAGGAAAGTTCAGGAAACCCCCTTTGTCTTGTAGACATTGACACTTTGCTCCTTGCTCCATCCCAAATATTTGTTTTTTGTTTTGTTTTGTTTTGATGGAAGACGCAAGCCGGATATCCGTTGGTGACAGGCTATGATGAACATATGGGAAGCAGTGACTTAACTAACCCTCAGGTGATGACGAAGAGGGTACACGTCTGGAGCGACAAGTTCTGCCTGCAAGGAGAAGGATATCAACCCGTAAGTCCTACGCTCGGTGATGCCTTAGCCAATTTGGTAGGAGTGAGTGACATGAACTTTGGAGCCAATGAATTCTAAAAATAGTCAATGAAATTAGGAGCAAGACGAATGCTAAAAGTCGACGGTCTGTATTGCACCAGCTCATGGGTGTGTACCAAATGAGCTACGCCCGTTGGTAGTCTGCAGGTACGTTAAGTGAGTTACCATGGTTATGAAACTGGTCTGAACTCTGAACCTAAGCCAGTTAAGTTGGCAAGAGGCTGATCTGTCGCTGACTTGTCATCAACCTTCTCAGTTAAGTTAAGGCAAGTCAGTTAAGTTAAGGCAAAGACGTGGTACATGGTTAAGTTAACCCCGGTCCATAGTTAGGTTTAATTCACCGAGTTCAGAAGAAGCGGATCGGTAGTTGAATCCAGTAAACCGCCAGTCTTTCCAAGGCCTCCTTTTCCCGACCCGGATTTCTGCTGTGCGCCAAAAAAAAAAAAAAACCTGGCCAGGCGCAAAACTTTTTTTTTTCCCCGCTGAGATAAGCCACAATAAAGAATAGAGTGAAACTTTCATGCCCTTGGTGATTCCTCGAGTCCTCTCCGAACGGTAAGAGATAGTCACCTATCATACGGCTCTCCAACTCAACTTACGATTAAACGAAAAGAATAATAAGAAGTCAAAAATACAGAAAGACTTCCAAGCCAAAAAGCCAAATTAGTAAATTAGTAAAAAATTAAAATTACCACTTATGGTATGTTTGGTATAAGCAAGTTCTAAGATCACATCCTTCGAATAAAATCCAGTTAAACCACCAGTACTTCCTGGAGTCGTGCCCGTTAACGCGCCACGATTTTAGGAAACGTACGGGCTACTACAGGAGCACCCAGATTCATCTGACTAGAAACGTTTCTATCTATTTTTTCCCGCGGCTGATAGCTGTGCCAAGTACTGGTGGTTTAAAAAAGGAAATCCAATTAAAGACATGCTGCCTATTAGCATCATAGCATAAGTAAAAGGTAACAAAGAAGCTAATCCTCCCATTTTGCGCATATCTTGTTCATCAGACATTGCATGCCGCAGCCAGCCTTTTCCTTCCGGTAGGCTGAGCCCCCGACTAGGCAGCGAATTTTTTGAAACAAATAGCTGGGAAAGGGACTGGTGGTTGAAGATAGCACAAATCTGTTGATTGGTTAACTCAGTTAAGTGGGCAGAAACCTAACCTGTCATTGAGTTCAGATACGTCGGCATGAACCTGGTCAGTAGTTAAGTCCGTTATAAGTTGGCACAAACCTGGCTTTTCAATAAGTTGAGTCCAGCTGGCATAAACTTGGCCTTTCAACAGCTTGAGTCAACGACACTGGGGGACGAACCTGGTCCATTATCAAGCGAAGTCTGCGAAGTTGGCACAAACATGACCCATATATACAAGATCTACGTGACCAAATTTTCCAACTCTGGCGAGCCACATGCGAATGCTTTTTCAACAGACAAGCATCTACGAATGGCCTTTCCAAGTGGCATGATTTCTCGAAGTAAGGCTTAGCCTTTGGCCCTTCTTTTCAAAGACGCTCATAACTCGCCGAGCTAAAGGCTCCTATCTACCGTTGGTGATTTGAAGAGAACTGAGAGAAGCCATTTCTGTGCATTGCTGAAGGAATTCCAGTTCACCTGATCGTATGCTTTCTCAAAATCGAAGAACAAGATTGCCGCATCGATTCTCTTGTCCCCGATCTATTGTACCGATTCTGTTAAAGAGTTCGTTGTTTATAATGTTAAGCTCGCGGTCTATACTGTCTCAATTTGCTTGTTATCATGGAGTTGAGCATTGTGTGTTCACGTGAGATTGATTGTGAGCTTCTAAAGTTGGGTTCATTACACAAGTTTTTTGGGCGGCGGAGCTCCTGGACCGGGTGTGACATGAGGGCTCCACGTCTGGCCCCCCTTTGCCGCAGGTCTGTGCTCCTCTCGGCTGTCATGTTACATCTGTGGACAGGTTTGGGAAACTTGTGCTGTGCGTGAAATTCCTGTGGGTCGCAGCTCCTGCGGCACATGCTTTTGGCTGAGTGTTTAAAGTCCCTGCTGGAGGTATATCTAAGGTACACCCTACCCTAGAGTATACCTAGGGAGTTGCGCTCGACGGTAGTTTCACCCTGGGCTGATTTAAACTGGGCTCGGGGTGCTTCCTGTGGTAATGCTTCTGGCAATGCATGGCTGTTGCATGCATTGGGGGGAGGCATGCCTGTGTTTGGGTTGCCCCCTGATTGTGGTTGGGTGGTTAAGCGGTATGTTTGTGTCCCTTGTTTGATCAATGGATATCAATTTGTATTTGTTAGAGGATCTAACAAAAACGGGAAAATTTTTCAAAAAAAGAAAAAAAAAGAAAAAAAAAAAAAGAAAAAGAGGCGTGCTCTCACCATTCTATGATTCTACCACTTCAAGACAGTTGGCCCCTCAACATGGAGGCGCCTGGAGCGAGGTGGACACAACTGAGTGGAAGCGAAGAGGCAGAGCATGACCTCAACATGGTTACAAGTGATTTGGGTGAGGCTAGTAGAGGATGACAAGCGGGGGGGCTTCTTGTACGAACGCAACACCCCCCTTATGACTTCTCCCCTACGACCCGGCAGAGTGGCAGTGGGAATGGGCTGAAGATCAGAAGATGTCCATCTGGCAATACATAGTCAAAGATGGTTACAGAGCCACCCTTAAGCCAGAATTGAAAACTCGATAATACAACATAGTCAAAAGTCTAATATCGCAGAAGAACCACATTGTATCAGCATGTAGACATGCCACAGACCACCTCCTCACTATCTCATGTCATGTATTCAATGTGCTCACTGTGATATGTAAAGCCTCACGCATTCATTACAAGTTGCAGGTGTCGATCGCTGCTGCTCTGTCTTAGTCAGAAGAGCATCCGCTCCATTCCATGTTATATACTAACAATGCTTCTCATGTTCCATCCTACTTGCAATCTCAGTGGCCAAAAAAAAACCTCAATTTTCAATTCAATAATTTTCAATTCAATTATCTCACACAGGTGCCTTCCGACCCTGCCCGTCCAGGGTCTGAGTTCGAACCTGCCCGTCCAGGGTCTGAGTTCGAACCTGCCCGTCCAGTCTGAGTTCGAACCTGCCCGTCCAGGGTCTGAGTTCGAACTCAGACCTAGAACAGAAAGGCAAGGCGTCTCCCCTGTGCACATAACTGCGACATTTTGACTCAGAAAATAATTGCTTCACTGGAGCACTGTCTGCTGGACTGTCCAATAGGAGCACAGAGTTGGCGCTGGCGGGACTCAGCCTGGCACCACCTGATAAGCATTCGTCTTCCGTGGGGGACGCACCCCCCACTGCTGGGGACAGAACCTGACAATGTAAGGAACAGGGGCACCTTTACTCTAAAGGGATTCAAATATACGAGACGGACAGTTCTGATTACAACCTGGACGACAAGTGTTCGTTTGAAAGGAAACGACACACATTCGGCTTCTTACAAGCAGAAACAGTCATAGCTGACGCAATCAGAACCAAAATATACGAAGGGCCTCGCTCCACTACTCACCAAATGTGCAAAATGAGAATGAATATTCAAGACTTCAACACAGCGGAACCATCCCCCTTCCAAACATTCGCTCACCCTCCTCTTCCCTCCAAAGGCCTGCTAAGTGTGGATCTCTACACACAGCGGAAAATCCAACCCCTGGATAATCCAACCCCCAGATAATCCGGCCAGGTAATCCGTGCTACCTAGTTCTAAGGTGTCCTGTTTGCTTTGAGAATTTTTGGGATGGAATAGAGAGGTACTTGGTGGGGGATCCTTGACACCACACACGCTCTCTTTTTTCTTTTTCTTTCGAATAAATGTATTTATTTATATTTATATGAGCTGGAAACTGGGTCCAGTGTCCCTTGCATAGATTACCCACCCTCCTGATGGTGATGCCACAATTTCGAGACACCACACACTCTCTCACAAATTGAAGTCTTATTTGAGGAGGCGGAGACGTATGAATACTGCAGAAATCGTTACCCATACCCGGGTTTTCTTTCCATGGATATCAAAGAAAAACATCATGAGGTTGGGAACCCTCAGAATGAACCCAGAACATGTTCCTAAAGCTAAACTCTGTACGCTGACCTTGCCAAGGATATTTATACTGCAACCATCCCTTCAATATGACTCTGACACCTCGCTCTCTCTCTCTCTCTCTCTCTCTCTCTCTCTCTCTCTCTCTCTCTCTCTCTCTCTCTCTCTCTCTCTCTCTCT